GAGGGAGGGGAGGGAGAGGGATCAGCCAGTGCTTTACCTCAACACCTGCAGCTGCTCCGGGGAGTTCCGCACCTCGTCCTGGAGGCGCCGCCAGTGCAGGCAAGCCCGCAGCTCCTGCAGTTCCTGGGCCTCGTGGGGGGCCAGCTGCTTAAGCCACAGACACACAAACACACATGCACAAAACATAGTCACTGTTGTCCTTATGCAAGGTCAGAGCCACCTTATGAAGCAGCTGGCTTTATTTCAGGGGGGATGGTAAAGACAGCCTCCCCGCTGCACCTTGCGCCCCATCAGAAAAGGCAGGAGGCCAAAGGGACCTCTTAGGTACTCAAAGGAAGAACCAGCTTTCACTGTCTTGCTGCCTCTTGGGAGGCACCCCCTGGCCCAGGAACCCTACCCCGCCCTAGAGAGAGCAGGCTCCCCGAGGGGCCATTTCCACTCTGATTCCACCAGGCCCTTTCCTGCTTTGTGTTTCTGCACAGGGTGCGGGAGGTCCCTCCACTTACTCCGTTTCCCCAGCCCTCAGTTTTGTTAAGGGCTGTTTACTGTGGAGCCTGCTAATGCAACCCAGATGATTCTGTTTGCATATAACCAGAAACAGTGCAGAGCCTGGACTCACTGTGTGGAGGAGGCCCTGCACCTGCCCTGCTGGTCAGACCAGCCTCTGTCACTCGTGCTCACCAGGTCCCATGGCTATCCTCTCCACAAGAGAGGCCGCAGAACCTCCACTGGGGAGGGAATGTCAGTGCCTAGCCCAGTTCCAGAAATTAAGGTCTTTAATGGTTCATTCAACAGATATTTACAGAGTCTCTGCTAGGCCCTGGGGACATTATGGAACAGCCCCTACACCATGAAGTCTGGGAGGTGGAGGGTGGTGGCAGTGGTGGGGGCGGGGGTGGACTCAGAGCACAGTGATAATAGAGGGGAATGAAGGAGCTGAAAGCCCCCTGGCCAACCAGCGTGGTCAGAAGGCTTTCCTGAGAAGGCGGTAGGAGCTGAGCTGGCCTCGGGGACAGCAGGAGTCAGCCCGGGGGAGGAATTTCAGGAAGAGGGAAAGCATGTGCAAGGCTCCTGGGGCCTGGAAAGAGCCTGATGTGTTTAGGGAATGAATGGCAGGGACGCGGTCAGCTGAGGAACAGGCTGCCATGGGAGAGGGGCAGAGGCCAGATGATCAATGGACTTTGTGTGTACCATTGTTATGGACTGAGTTATGTCCCCTCCCCCCAAATTCATAAATTAAAGCTCTAACCTCAAATGTGACTGTATTGGAAACGGGGCTTTTAAAGAGGTAATTAAGGGTAATAAGGTCATAGAAGTGGGGCCCTAATTCAATAGGAGTGAGTCCTCATAAGAGGAAGTGACGCCAGCTTTCTCTTTCCACGTGCGCACAGAGGGAGGGCACAGTGAGACGGGGCTGTCACCAAGCCAGGGCAGAGTGAAATCAAGCCTGTCAGCGCCTTGGTCCTGGACTTCCAGCCTCCAGAACTGTGAGAAAACGAATGTCTGCTCAAGCCCCCAGCCTGTGGCATTTTGTTATGGCAGCTGGGCTGCTAGGACACCTGTGAAGGAGTTTAGACTTTATCCAGGTTGATGACAAGGTATACGATTCATTCTTGCCACTAACTCACTTCACCTCTCCCTGCAGAATGCCTCTCGGAGCAGAATGCCAATTTCTACCTCCTTGCTCAGGGATTTCGCACTCCCCGACTCTGCCACGCTCGCCAATGCTCGGTGCTGCACAGTGACCCATGCGGCCTCACTCCCTCTTCCCTGGGGGATCCAACTGCTGCCCAGGAGAGTTGGGGAGGAGGCCCACCCTTCCCTGCCCCGAAGAGCACCCCTCTACTGCTTCTTGGAAGGTCTGCCTCAGGCACTCGTCAGGGACCAGCAGGAGCTCAGTCTCACTTACCCTTCAAGGAAGGGGTCAGAGTGAGGGACATGCTCTGGAAATATTTCCAAGCTTTGTGCTGATTCTAGAATGGCCTCTCTGCCTGGTGGGGGGTGATCTGGACCACCCCCACGCCAGGCCAGGGGAAAAGCAGGGACAGAGAAGCCTCAGCTCCTACTTCCCTCTGAGCTCATGTCAGAAGTCACCTCCTGTAAGGAGACTCCCTGGGTCCTCCTAGTCCTGGCCTCTCCCGCCTTCGGACTGGCAGCGTTTGGCGTTTACCTCTCTTTCGTGATTTATTTTCTTCTTCCTTCCCGGGGTGCTTCCCTGATCTCCTCCACTAGACTATGACCTCTTTCAGAGCTGGGCTGTCTTATTCATCCTGCTGCCCCTACAGATGGCGCACAGAACAGACACACGGAAGGTGTGCCCTGGGAGAGGCAGCCAGGCCAGCTTGGTGCCTGCGACGGTGGAGATGGACGCAGTCAGGGCAGGTAGAGGTGGGACCCATGCAGAGACGCAGGAGACCCAGAAGCTCAGGCAGGGGGGAGGGTAAAAGACCAGTGCTCTCTGGGGGTGCAGGAGAAAAAAGGACAGATGCCTGAAATATATTCGTGATTACCAAGAACAGCACACATCTGACTGTGTCAGGATGGAAGCACCCGGGAAGAGATGGGGGCAGGGGCGCATGTACATGAAGCCCATTTAACCCTTGCGGAATGCCTACACGTGCCAGGCACGGTGCTAGGCTCATTTACACGTTACCCTATTCCGCCTGCAGGGTAAGCATTCTCACACCCATTCTATACATGAGGAGGCTGAGGCTCAGGGAGGGTGGTGAACAGCAGAGCTGGGACCCCAAACCTGCTCAGACCCTGAATCCAGCCACCCCCCCTCACCTGCCATGTGGCCTCACCCCACGGAACTCTCTGTGGCAGGGGACACAGACCTGCACACTGCTTGCTCCAGAGGGGCAGACGGCTGAGCAAGACACAGCTCTACTTTGAAAAAGTAGTCTGGTTGTGAGGATAGAGGAAAGACAAAAAAAGTGGGGGAGAAAGAGGTAAGTTAGTGCCAAAAACTGCGGAATTCAAAGTTCCTAGAAGAGTAGTGGTGAACTGGGAGTTGAACGATCAGTCTGGGCTTCCCTGAGCTAGTTGGTGAAAAATAAACAGGATTTCAACACGCAGAAGGAATCTGAACAAAATCATCCAGGTATGCACAGACTTGGGAACTTAGAAAATGTTCAGCAGTCAAGTGTGTAAGGGGTGGAAATGGGAGGGAAGGAAGGGACCAAATATTCGGAACTAGAAAATAAGCAGGAAGTGGTTTAGCTGCCAAATCCTCATTACAACTGGTGGCCAATTCTCTAAAGCAGAGGTTGTACTGGGAAAGTGCTGACCAGGTCTGGCCTCTGGGCATGTTGCATTTACATATTTTTTAAATTAGTAAATTTCACAGAAAAATCCAAATTTATAACTTTGGTTAAAAAACTAGGAGTCTAGGCTATCTTGAGCCCTCCCTTCCACATGACAAGTGGTGAGAGCTGAGGACCAGCTGCCGTTCGCCACAGTCCTCCCCATTCCCTAATCTTCAACACCAACTGCTTCATTCTTTACTGGCCAGCAGACATGAGATTATGGCTTCTGATTTAACTTAATATCTCATTATTTAACAAAACACGGTCCATGTCACCACAACCACACCCACAAAGGGGAGCCTGAGTAGCCACAGCACAACCTTTTCTGCAAGTCTTTGCTCAAATGTCCCCATATCAGAGGCCTTCTCTTGGAGCCTCTAAAACAGACCCCCACTCTATCTAGCTTCACTTTCCTCACAGTACTCCCCACCCGCCACGTTACGGATGTGTGTGTGTGTTTGCTGGCCGTCTCTCCTATGGCTGCATGTGAACCCCACAGGGCCCGGGGACGCCCCTCTCATCACACAGCTGCCTCTCAGCTGCCCAGTGCACAGTGAGCCCTCGGTACACATCTGTTGAATGAACAAATGACTGTGACTTGAACTTGACTGCAGGGAGTGAAATGGTTCGGTCACTTTAAACCTACCTGCTGGGCTCTGGCCCAGAATACATCTTCCAAGTGAGTGGCAAACCCTTCGCTCAGCCACTCCTCCGTCCAGTCACGGGCGCCGATGGCAAGGCCAAACCAGGCGTGAGCGATTTCATGGCAGAGGCGGGTCCCGCAGAGATGGCTGCCTCCGGTCACGGCGCTCTGCGAGAGGAAGACGATGTGTGGGCTGCGGAGAATGGAGGAGAAAACAGTCTTGTTAGAGCTCGCCCCGCGGCGGCCCCGCGGGCGGCCTTCGCAGCCTGCGCCTGCTGTTACGGTGTGCGTGCTAGATCATGACCGGGGTTCAGCTCAGATGCTTTTAGAAACACATAAAGTGGCAGTTTACATTTCTGGCAGCGGTTCAAGTTGCCGTTTTTGCCAAGCAGTTGTCTCCGTCATCAAACGCTATTACCTATAATAAGTAACCTGCACCCCAGTTTTACACTGAAGAAATTACAAGGCAATGGAAGCATTTACTCAGAAATCTGGATGTAAAAGAAGAGCAGGTGTGAGAATGCGAAGTCCCTGCTGTCAAGAGATGATCAAAGAAGACCCTTCAGCCAAAAATCCGAGCGGCTTACAAACAAATTGGGGAGTCATGCAGAAGGACAGAGAAAGCAGAGAAGAATGGAACCGAAAATTTTCCATTTCAGACAGGCTGGTTACAGAGTTAGCAAACTAACAGGTGCCACAATGGGCGGCTTTTCCAAGACACCCAGATAAAAGTTGGGTCTCCGTAAGGCAAAGATTGCCAATGGTACCATCTCCTATCTGTAGATGCTTACATATTCACATGGCATAAGAAAATTATGGAGAGAGACAGAGAGAGACGGAGAGAGAGGAGGGAGTTAACCCACCCAGGTGTGCAAACGGCCCCGGGCTGGCACCAGCCATGGAGATTTATCTAATCTCATTTTCCATACTTTGTTTTGAAACCCAAAATACCATGATTAGAAC